CAAATATTGCACTCATTTGACAATTAAAGCCCTGTTATTTCATATAATTAATTAAATAAGTATTGCCNCTGGCAAGAATGAAATAAAAGAATGAAACCATTACCAGGCAAACATGAAATGAAATAGCTAGGCAACAATAAGAAATTGCTGGGTAGGAAAGAAATAACCCTGGGGAGGCAATGAAATGAAAGGCTAGGCAACAAAGAAACAGGAAAGAAATGGGACTGAGGGGCAATGAAATAAATGGCCAGATAAAAAAGACATAGTTATGAAAAGGTATAGGGAAGGAATAAAATAGATATAAAACAACTATGGGAGGGAATGAAACACATTTCATAATGCTTGCCCTACATTTCTCATTTCATAAAAAACCTAGGCAGTGTCCAAAAAGTTGTGCAGGCACTTGCCCAGACTTTTTCATAAACAATGGTTGATACTAGTGCTCCAGTGTCAAGAAACCGGCGAACATTTCACGTGGCACCACGGCAATGAGTTGCCGCACAGATGAAGGTGTGAGCACGTCGTCCACCTGCATACTCAATGATGGGATCAGGCTTGAAGAACCCATAAACACCAGCAGTCCATTCCTTGGATAGGCGTGCTGGCAAAGGTCATTTCGGTAAGTCTCAGAAACATCTTGTCACTTACCCAATTGCTTTTCAGCAGCAATCTCTTCATCATCTGATATCATAATCACGTCGCTGTTGGGATCCAGGGTTTGACCATGGTGAGAACTTTCCTCATGATCTTCTTCGTTGCTAATAATAACCCTGCGGCGAGAAGTTACAGATGGCATAGATTGCCGTTCTTGAACTGAAGACACTGTGCCTGTCTCCTGGGCTGAAGATGCCACATCTAATGACTTGGTGACCTTGGCCTTCTTTTGGGGGTGAACAGCCTTAACAAACGTGGAAATCGGAGCAGTAAGCTTTTGCTTTGTGGCACTGATGATTCTGCCTGAGGAAGACTTTTTTGCAGGAGGTTCTGGGGATTCCGCATACTAAGCGCTGATGTGAACTTTTTTCAGAGTGCGCGAGTGTGTACTTGATGTGGATTTAAGGTTTGAAACTGTACATAGTATTTATTTACATTTCTGTTTCGGCACATGCAGCTGCTGTGCTGTTGTGCTGAAACCCTCCAAAACCCTCAGCAAGGGTATGGGTTGCACCACGGGTACTCAAATGCTGACCCGCACCTGTACCCATCTCTACCCGCCTTAAAACCCGTGCGGGTTGGCATACCCTTGGTGAACACTACCAACGAACGCTCACATGCCAGGACGACGAGGGACGGCGACAACAACAACACCACGGATGACCGCCCACACACAGTTGAACATGACCCCCCCACACACAACCACAACCACCGAACAGCAACATTGAGCACCCGTGGACGGGGATCCTCA